GGCGGCGTCCGGCGGAGCGCGGGGACGGCCCCTTGGCAGCGGGCGCCGGCGCTGCCCCGGGGACGGTCGGCGGGCGATACCCGCGCTCAGCCGCCGCGTTTCTGCTTCTATAGCAGGTGCCGTGAGAGTGCGGGGGGCCGGAGCCCCGGTCGGAGCCCGGAGGATGGCGTGCGTCGGCAGGCCGACGGCGTGAGCGCCGCGGCGGAGAGCGGGCAGCCGGCGGGGCAGGTTCTGGCGGAGGTGCGTGGAGAGCTGCCGTTGCGCGGGCAGGCTTTTAATTACGTATTTTTTTAAAGTTCCTCTTTTATGTGTGCCGGTGCAGCCAAGGTCACCTTGAGCGCAGGGAGGACGCGTTTGGCTTTCACCGTCCGGATGGTCGTGAGCGGGTTTTTTTTTATCTGCTGGGCGGTGTAGATGTTAATTTGCCTGAGCGCTAGCTAATGAAAAAAAAAAAAAAAGAAAAAAAGGGGCAAATTGAGCGTAAGAGCCAGCCAAGAAAAAAGGATAACTTATGTACTTAGGCTGTGTGTAAAGGTAAGTATGTGCGTGGATATACTAGCTCGAACGCTGGTTTGTATGGGGAGCTCTGTACGTGGAGGTATTACAGGAGAGGTTTGTGTCTGCTTGGGGGGGGACGGTAAGAAAGACAAAATGTTGGACTAAAGTTTTAGGTCTTGCTTTTGCAAATGTTAGCGTACAGGGTGGGAACAGTCTCATTCCTGATGGCTCGTAGCTTGGCTGGAGCATAAGTTTCTTTGCAGTGACAGATGGAAGAGGCGGTATTGCCACTTTACAGTTTCTCTAGACGAAAATGCCTGGATTCCTATTTCAGTGGCTCACCATAACAAAGCAGTTGAATTCGTAGTCTTTTGCGGATATACCGTACAATGCCAAGTGGTTTTGATATGTTAGGCCTACTTTCTTTTTTCTTTGGCCAAGAGAGAATTCTTTATTGTGCTTATTATATGAACTATAAAACTTCCCTTTTAAAATAATAGTGCAAGTTTAGACTTTACTGCTTTTTAATCCCACAAGCCCGTAAGGTCACTTATGTCAGCAGCGCGTTCAGATTTAGGGGTGTGCTTTTTGTATAGAACACTCCTTCCTCTGAGGAGTTTGCAAACTGGTTTGACTACAGCTAGATCAGACGCATAAAATATACTGTGAGATAGGAGATCTCTCGGGAGAGAACATAAATAAATTTTTCTGTAGATAATAGGTGTCCTTGAGAAGCAAATGATGAAAGAGTGAGGTCATGGAGTGCAAGAGAATAGTAAACTTTTGAAAGTGGCTGAAATGTGTATTCATGTGGCTGCATGGTTTAAACCATGCAGTGAAGAACAGTGGAAAAGCATAAAGGGACTATACTGACCTGTAATGAGAAGAAAAGCAGGGAGAGAAAAACAGGGAGATATCTGGTTGGTGTGCTGTGTTTATGGAAATCAAATATGCTGGGTTTTTTATCATATTAAAATCATGCTGATTTCTGACTGCAGTGAAACTCCTTCAGAACCTAACTTTTATGAAGGGCGCAAAAATACCAGTTTGCTAATTTTTTGGTAAATACCCATCACTGAAATTATGTGTGTGTGTATATATGTATGTAAGTATGTTGTTATTTTGCAGCTTCTGATCTTCAGTTCAACTCCTGGGTCATGGATGAAACTGCTTTGTCCCTTGGAACAATAGATGTTTCCTATTTGTCCACCTCAGCAGAGTGTAGTATCAGTAGATGTAAGCATTCCAGTGAAGAATGGGTAAGTAAAAATTGTGAATGTTACTGGCCATATTTATCTTATTTTTTCATCACGTCGAAGGTGGACTTTTTTTTATTATGAAGAAGAATGAAGATAAGGCATCACCTCTCTCATGCATGATACAGTTTGGTTTTAATTTAACTTGAAACGTAAGGAGGAACCAACAGTTCAGTGTTGTGCCAAAGACTAATGATGCTAGAAAAGAAAAACCCTATCAAACCCTATTGATAGTCTTACAGTCTTCTGATGTGATGTTACTAATCATTTTATATAGCAGTAAATGTGCAGAATCCCATTCTGGAGTAGGCTGAGGTCAAACAGAAAGTCAAACAGAAACCTCATTGCTGTTCTGGAGGATGTAGTTTGAAATGCACAAGTGAAAAGGAGCCTGAAGCTAAAGGTGCACGGTCATGTAGCCATTGTAGCTGGGGCTTTTCATGCGATACAGGACGCAGAGAAAATTTGGTGGATATAAATAAGGAGCCTATTAAAAGTCTGTGTCCTCTGTTGAATGAGGCTTGGGATTTGGAGGAGGCAAAGGGGGCAGTGAGCAGAGAGGTCTGGGTGGAACAAAAAGAGCCACATGGGGACTGGGCTGATAGCAGTTGGTTTAGAAGCATAGGTCAGGAAGAATTAGACACGGGTCTGGAGGAGGAGTTTGAACTTGATACAGAAGAAGAGTTGGAGACATGGTCAGCGTTGAGGGAAGGGACACACATTCTGGCAGCTGGGTTTTCTGTCTAGCTAGATGTAAGTTACATTGGACAGCAACTAGCAGTAACCAAAAGATCTGTGAGGCAGTGGGATAGAGGCAGGTGAGACAAAAGAGATGGGAAGGAGGTTTTGTAAGAAAGTGGTGGTGAGTTCAGTCAGGGCTTGGAGGCAAGCAGAAGGAGGACAGTATTGTTACAAAGTTGGTTAATTTTAGACTTAGCATTACAGAAGGTGATAGAGAAGCGATTGGGCCAGGCTTAGCATCTTGATGCTTGTTTATTTCAGATGGAAGACGTAGCCTTGGAATAGTTGCCAATTTATACCGCTTGCCAAATGTGATATACGCACGTTTTAGTTTTTAGGCATCTTGAGTGTTGCTTTTGACTTTCGGGTTGTTTCTCGCTGGGCTGGCTTTCTAGCTGAGTATGTGATGTTCTGTATTTGTGTTTCCCAAACCTTATGCTCGTTTAAGGTATTGGTTCTACCCTGCTTCTCTTCCACTTAAAAGTGCTATTTTAAACAATGTTTTGGTTTGTTTCTGTAACTTCCCTTTTATTAAAAACTTAGAATATATGGTTCAGAAAATGGCAATCCAGTGTTCATTCTCAGGCAAGCAATAATTCAGTAGACTTTATTGGGAACAGTCAATGTCTTTGTAAAAATTATAGTTAAGTATATTTTCATTACATCCTAACATAAGAGAATGTGTTCTGTGAATACAATTACTCTGATTTTTTTGGTTCTATAATCTTCAGAAAGACAGCGTAACATTGGAGAAGGCACAGTGGTTCTTTTTTCATATCACTTTGCATGAAACTGCTGAAAAAGGGTGTACAGAGTCAATGGAGTTAATATTTTGTGTATATTCAGTCTTCTTGCGATTTTACAGGGTGATGTCCAGTTAAAGCTTAATATACATTGCTGATATTACACCTAATTACACCTAAGCGCCCCTACATTACTAAGAGAGTAATTTACTGTTAATTTCTTCCACTTCTCTCGGCTGTCAGTTTCCTTGCTGTTTCTTATTAGAGTTATTATTTTAAAATTTTGTGTGTCAGCAAATGCTGCAGTGCTTAAGATACGTAAGTACAACAGTGTGATTTTGCTTTTATTTTTAAAAATGGCATCGTCTGGAGATAATGTAATTTATTTTAGAAAAATCTTGGAAAAAATTCTGTTAGTTTTATGTAATTTTGGGTGGTAATTTTTTTTTGTTTTTTGTTGTTGTTGTTGTGTCTGGCAAATCCTCTTACTCAAAATTTTCACATACCTAGTAAAACGTATATTTCTGGATACTTACAGAGTGGTCTTTTGTTCTGCAGGGAGAGTGTAACTCTAGGCCCACTCTCTTCCGATCCGCCACTTTAAAATGGAAAGAGACTCTGTTGAGCAGAAAAAGGCCGTTTGTGGGACGGTGTTGCTATGTATGCACTCCCCAGAGCCGGGTAAGAAGATTACGGACTGGATTATGTTTGACAATAACTTGTAGTTGCAGCGTAATGAAGTTTCAGTAGTTTTGTTACTTTCAGAATTAAGGTCACAATGTTCTTCCTTCATAAAGAAATATAGTTTTTCACTTTGTTTATGGTTATATTTTCTTTGTCATGGAATTAATGGATGACACAGACCTGTTGTGATGCTTTGTCTTCCACTTTTCAGTGCGGACTTACTCCTTGCAGAAAACTTAACAGCTCTTCAGAATTAGCACTAGGAAATTGTATGGAAAAAAATTACCTGTTCTGGTAGATTAATAATGGGAATTTGGTGCATATGAAAGGCATACTTTTAGGTGCTTATGTTAAGGCTTACTTTTGAGATGCTTAATTCTCTATCCACAGAATAAGTATAGTTTTGAAAGTAAGCAATATGTTCCCTTCAAACTTGAAGAGATTAATCCTGTGCTTGAGAAGACATGGTGGTTTTCTACACCTGGCTGATTCCTGGCTACTCTGCCCAGCCTGGAAACAAGGAGTGCCAGTTATGATAGTGGGGATATTTGTCTGCTGGGAGCAGCGTCAACATAGTGGCTCTAGAGAGGTTGCGCAAGCTGATTTTAAATGTGAACTTTATTGAACTGCTTTGGGCAGGTTTTCCATAAACTGAAGATGCAAAATGCTGATAAATGGCATAATATAGTTTACAACCAGTTCATCATGTAATTTGACTACGTGTACACCCTGGGCTTTAAATCGCACTCAGTTACACCTGCACTGAGCTCAATGATTGGCTGGACTAGAGTGAAAATTTGCTTGTTTCTTTGACCAAGGAAAAGTTGTTATTTCACTCTATTCCTATGCCAGAATAGAAAATTGCAGCAATGACATACAAATGTGGGATAGAAATCCAAATGTTCTGTGAAGGCTACATATGATATGGGCAACAAGACAAGCAATTAGATAAACTAAGACTACTTCTAACAGACACTTAAGTGTTTTGACTTGTAAAAAGGTGTGTAGGAATCCTCAACTTAGGGCTTTATACATTTAGTAATTAGTCTGTTAGTAATTAGGCTCTTCCTCTCAAGTTGAGAATTATGCTTTAAAAATAAAAATCTTGTTCTGTATTTTGTCCATTTAATAAGAAACTAATTGCCTATCCTGAGATCCCACTCAGGAAAGGGGCATGACCTGATTAAGCCCTTTATTGTCTTCTGCCACAAGGAGAAAATACCATCCTTGCAGCAGACAATAACAAAGCAGATCCTCTCATTGGACTCCAGATATTTCTTTTTTTTTTGAGCAGCCTGTTCGTTAATTCTCTTAAGGAAAAGGGATGGATGAGTGAGACACATTTCCTTAAGTGTGTTGGCCAAACTAACAGCTTGCCGATGCTCAAGAGTGGGCAGTCTTGCTTCTCCCTATAGTTTTCCTTCTTGCTCTCCTGGGGGCTGATCAAGTTCACTAACCATGCAGAAAATTACCTGCTTTATTTATTCATTTACTCTGGCTGTATTAGTTTTCTGCCATGCCTGAATGAAGTTGGCTCGTTAAGGGGTGTGATGAACACTAGAGATGGTGTAAGTTAAGAGGTGAGGGATAGCGTTCAGTGGGAAAGGGTAGGATGTGGTAGCAGGAGCTGGGCTTCTTCCGCGCAGCAGCAGGGAGATGCTGTATCAGCTCACTTGTCTCATAGAACCACATCCTTTGCCTGACACAGGATGGGGGAAGAGTTAAATAAGGAAAAGCTGAAGTGTGACATTACAGCTGGAGGATGAATTTCACAGAGCGAGGTTATAATCTAATGATTAAAGCACTGGAGTGGACTTGGGCATTCAGTGATACTTAAATTTGTTGCTGATTTTTGGGGAGACCAAGAGTAAGTCATTTCACTTCTCTTCACCAGAACGTTTCATCTAGCTTTAAGATCCACAAAAAATTACCAGTGAACAGTCAAAGAAATTAGTATTACCTTGAAGTTTCCTCTTAAAAGCCTAGAGCAACAATTTGTTGATTGTATGTACTACGCAGTTATGCTTTAACATGGGGCAAAAGACTGTGTGCTCCCACTGTAGCACGTAATTTCTACCTGATTTGCAAGTGACATAGGACACTTACATATTTTAATTTGTGGCAAATGATATGTCCTAAACAAAATACAAACAAATGAGACTCTTGCCTGATTCCCATTGCAAAATTGGTAGCGAGGCTGTTCTGCAGCTAAGCTGTTGCTGGTAACCATCTTTCTCCTCCACTGTCATGTTTTGTCTTCCTTGACATGCACAGTCCCAGTGGTTTTAGCTGTAATTCACTGTTGGCATGCTACCAGTTTTATAATTAAGTATTATTTGGGCAGAAAGAAACTAGCCTCTCGGTCAAGGTACTTACTTGGAATACGTAATATCAAAGTTTAGGTCTTCCTGGCAAGGAATATTTTTTCTTATCCAAAGTGGAACTGCTCCCAAACTCATCCCAGAACAGTTAATAGCCTGGCATGTAGAGTCTGTATCAGGGATGTAGAAAGCTGGATTGAGTTTGTTGTTCAGGCAGAGCAGGAATGTGGAGATTTGCCACCTAACCATGGATGGATATCCTGACCCTTGGGCTGCCGTTATGTGATGCCTGATCTGCTGGCAAACTGGTTGTCACAGACTGAGTGTCAAAAGGCTCATGGTTATACTAACGCTGAATGTGGCTTAATAAAGTTCTGTCTCAAATATGAGTTCTGTATTATGACAAGTCCTGGTTTATATTACATCAGAATGCGATAAAATATTCTGGCTTGAAGAATACAACCAATACAACCATTTCTGTATGCAGTAAAGCCTAGAGAATACTTTGAAAGTATTTGAGTTAGGAATAGTACTTCTGAATTTCATGTACATTTCAGAACAGTTTGTGTGTACTTTATAAGCAAGTTCAGCATTTCTCTGCTTTGGGTTTTGTTTATAACAGAGGTGAAAAATATTGCATTATCTTAAATGTTATGATGAATGTAAAGACACAACTATTCCTATGTAACGAAGTAGTCCGCCAACCTTTTTTTTCTTGGTCTTACAGGATAACTTCTTCAACGCTAGTATTCCTTCTTTGGGTCTACGTAATGTCATATATATCAATGAAACACATACGAGGTAATGTAGCAAGTCTTTATTCTGCTTTTAAAATTCAGTGTGTTCTGATCTTACACAGGGAAATCTCTAGGATAGTCCGGACTGAGTGAATATATATTGCTATCCTAAAATGCAGGAATTGGTGCTGACTTCAGGAAAGTTAATGTGCTTTTTAAATCCGGCTGTGTGTATTTGGGAGCTGGGCAAAGTCCTCTGGGGTTATAGACAAGGAATGTAAGGGTCAAACCTGTTTCACAAAAACCAGAGCGTGTTTAAATCCTTTCTCCACTAGTGCAAATGGCAGCATCCGTAGCATAATGCTGAGAGGAGCTGTTTTATTCCCATGTTCAAGAATGACTTCAGGCTGCATTTTAATTTACTGAGCAGATCTGGCTCACAATTTGGGTGTTGACTGTTATCACTAATGACAATTAAATCTGAACATGTCTTCTGAGACTGTCTCTCCTCTGCCTCAGTGGCAGAGTGCAGCTCCTGAAGGATGGTGTATATGACCTAAAAATGATGGTGTATCTTAGCATTTTTGGAAAGATATCTTGTGTTCTGGGATGAAGATACTGGAAGTACACAAAAATCTTTATTCTGTTCTTTGGAAAGTTAATAATGCTTGCTAAGTTTTTTACGGTAATCATTAGCATAAGCAGGTCCTGCAGTGTTTGTCGTAGAGTCAGAGCAAACAAAGAGAGGCCAGCAGCCTGAAAGAAATGAGCCAAAGTGTCTGAGTGGAAGAAAGGCAGCATTGTGCTGTGCTTGAGAGGGAGGAAGCTAATGTTCAAGGCTGTTCTTTCTTCAATTTGAATTAATTATGTCTTTTTAAAAGTTGAGCTTGTAGTTTAGAATACAGAAAAAGAACAGAAATAGTGTTTAATTTTAACATTTTTTTTAAAATTAGTTTCAGAAGTCTAATGCTTGAATGGTTTTGGATGGTCAGAATTACTTAAATTAGAAATATAAGGGCAACAAAAAATGGGTTAATGAATTATTCTGAAATAAAATGCCTTTAGCTCAGAATGTCATTATAGTCTGAAAATTGAGAATTTTAATGAAGTTCTGAGGTCTCATGGGGTTACATAGTCACAGTTTCTTGGCCTTAGAAAGCAAGAGGGATTCTCTTTAACTGCTAGCATACTGTACCTGTATCGAGACATTACTACAGCCTTTTTCTGAGGTGTGAATATGTCAGTTTTATAATATATCTTGACTGGGTCTATTCTGTGGGGTTTTTGTCTGCTATCATTGCTACACGATTAGAAAACAGATTTTTCTAGTTATACTATGTCATATCTAAGCTGTAAAATGAACGTAGAAGCCTTTATACCTTGACAGATCCCTGCAATAGCTGCGTGCTGTTGTGATGATATGTTCATAGTTACCAAAATTGTTGTCAGAAAGAAGGATATCCTTAGCTTTGCTTTTTAGAAAAATCAGTAAGGCTTTCAAACTCCAATGAGAAGGGAAAAATGGAAAAGCAATTAAAACAGAGTCACCAGTCTACTTCCCTGACAGCGTGAATAGCAAAATTCTTTGTCCTTCGAGATGGTCTGAACACTTGTATAACCTTTATGTGTCAGACAGTGCCGATGGCTTGTGCGTGTGCACTCAATTAACAGTGCGAGTGGCCTGTGCACTCAGGTGGTTTGGCCTTTTGTAGTGTAAAAGTTCCTTCTCATCTTTCCTAGCTGGTTTTAACACATGTATAAATTTACTGAAATGTGGTAGGGAGGTTTAACAGCCAAGATCAGTAACTCGGGTGACGACAAGGAGTGAGACCTTAGCGGCACTCCAGCATGGAAAGCAGCATGAGCATTGCCACCCACGGTTCTGTCTGGGACTCTCACTACAGCATCAGTGATGCATTGCGCCAGCAGTCCTCAGGACAGGGTTTTTGCATAATACTGACTGCTCTAGTCTTAGGAATGGCCAGAATTTAATTTCTTCTTCCAACTGTTAATTCTGTCCCATCACATCAGCTCTGCTGTTCAGGAGTCCTGCATGAGTGGTGGCTTGTCCAGTCCTGGCCTGGTGAGTGAGGGTGGTGAGGAGAGAAAATAGTAAATATTCACTGCTGGGGACTGGATTTTAGCCCTTCATGTGTCACATGCATCTTCTGTGATGTTAGGAAAACTGTTCAAAGTAACATTTTCTCAGGTGATTGCTGCTTATATGATCTGGAGAGTGGAGGACAGGGTTAATTTAAAAGGAAGGGACTGGCTGCATAAGCTAAGTTGCCTTACTTAAACACTTGAATGCATAGAGAGATTTACTGATTATTTAGTGGTTCTACTCCTGTTAAAACTTTGCAAGGAGAAGGTACATAGGAAGCACGTAGGGCTGGGTGTTTAAAAACACTAGCAAGGAAGAAAAGATTACAAAAAAATTGTTTTTAGTGTTGGTGGCTAATGCGAACATATTTTCAGAAGTGTTTGTGAGAGTTTACTCTCTGCGTACAATGTAAGCAACTTTCCCAAGAGGACTCGATGTTTCTTGAAGCAGTTGACAAACCTCTTAGTTGGGCATTTACATTCCTCACTGTAAAGTCACTGAATCGGAAATCGGCACTAGCTCTTCTTTTGTCCTCGCTGAGCTGGTGAGACGGTTCCAGCGGACAGACAAAATGCGTATGCTGGTGTGTAGCTACTTTCCTCTGAGACTGTGGATGTTTTAAGGCCAGTATCACCCTGAATTGAAGTAACGTAGACCTCAGTTGTCTCAGGTATTTTGTGCTACGCATCAGTTATTTCATCCATAACATTAACATATTGGCAGTTTACTAGAAGATACAGAAGCTTTTAGGCAGCCCTTCATAAAATTGTACTTACCTTTGCTTCTTAATTGTATTTTTAGGTGGTTTTAATATTTCTTTTTTTGGCAGTGAAATATTTTGAGGGTCACTCTCAAATACCCTTCATATTTTTGTAGGTACAGAGGGTGGCTTGCAAGACGCTTTTGTTATGTCCTTTTTGTGCAAGAGAGGGATGTTCATAAGGGTATGTTTGCCAAGAATCTGACAGAAAATGTGCTGAATAACAGCAGGTAAGATAATGCAAAATAAATGATTTTTTTGAATGGCTGATACATTATAATACAACTTCAGAATTTAGAAGTGTCAGGTTATGACAATCAGACTATTTAAAATATTAGAAGATACAGTATCTTCAGCACAGCCTTTCAGGACTGTAGCTTGCAATTTCTGTTTGAATAGTAAAAGAGGGGAGATTAATAATTATAAATCACCAGATGAATGATGCATAGTGGTGGACAGCAGACAGTACACAGAAAAATAAATTGCTACATGGGAACTCTTCAAACATTTGTTTATCTAATTCATGTAAATCACTACCACTGAAATCATACTGCAGTCATCAGAAGTTGTCAGTGTTTCAGAAATAATAGGAAAGCAGCATTTCAGAGTGTACACCTGAGTGTACACCAAGATTGCGAGGCAAAACTGGAAAGAGGCTATAGAATGAAATACCCACCCTTTACTTTGTGGAGCGTGTTTTCCATTTCATATACCACATTTTCAATGGCCCATTGAGTCCCTGATTAGCTATTAAGGTATCAGTTTTCCCTGGACACAGAAAAATTCCACCACGTGCCCACTGCTTGAGTCTACTTTTGTCAGAGGGCACACACTGCCTACATTAACATTCCTAACTTTCCTGAATTTTTAATGTTCGAGTCCCATCTGGAGATGATAGTGTTGCTTTTGAAAAGTAAAGCAGACCACATTGCGCCACAGTTATGGTGTGTTAAACCACTTAATCTCTCTTAGGTATGTTTTAAATGGGGAAAATAGCCCTTATAAAACTTAGTTACACTTAGTAAAACTGAGAATTCAAGGGGGAAGATACTGTAGAAGTGCAAAATAGCTGCTGCATAAATCTGTCTAGTGAGGTAAGTGAAATTGCTATGGCAGGAAAAAGAAAATATTAACAAAGAGGAGATTTCGGCTGTTCTTTCTGTATTTTTAACCTTATTAACCATTTCTGAAAATTGGCAATCACTTGATATCCGTGCCTCTGATCTACGTACATACTATTTTATATGGTCAAAGTTGAGCACATTCATCCATCATCCACCTATTTAATCAGAACTTAGAAAACTACTGAACTAAATTTAATGCATTTGGAGTACACAATACTTTAGTGTGCATATTCTTTTATGCCCGCCAGTTACTCCTGTAGTAATATATAGCTCATTCCCAGCAGTTATTGTCTGTGTCTTGAACTCTTCTGTTGTGGGACTGTCTCATAAGTTTTACTTTTTAACGCTAAGAGTCCAGAAGGCCATTGTAGATGAAGCTTCTGAACCAAGTGCTCCGGGTAGTTTTGCTCAAACGGATCCTAAAGCTATCAACAAAGTGAAGAAAAAAGCTAGGAAAATTCTCCAGGAAATGGTAGCAAATGTGTCACCTGCTTTAATCAGGTAAGAGAAATGACTCGTCAGTATTGTCAATGGGTAGAAGGACGGCCAAGCTCTCTCTGTATTATACCAGCAGAGCTTGTAACACATTATTCATAAATAATAATTATTCTAAAAAAATAATGCATTATTCATAATAATCCCTTTTCTAATGTTAACTAATGAAATGGTAGTTATTCTTCATTTTCAGATGCAACAGAAACCCGCTGCCTTTTCAAGGGATAAATCTTGTGATAAGATTAAATACACGGTTTTTTTTTTTTCCTTCTGAAACTAGTTTTGGTGCTAATGCTTAGACCAGTATTAGTATCTCTATTAGTATCTGTTTTAGGCTGATGTGGGTGAGAGCAGCTAGCTGCAGCATCTTAGACTGTGATGAAAGATCTTTTTTGCAGTGGCCCATTGAATATCATAACCTGCAGCTATAAGTACCTTAGATAAAATCTTACCTGAGATAAAATCTTACCTGAGATAAAATCTTCTACTGTGATGTCTACCTTTGCTACTAAGGATTAATTTGTCTCTGCCATGTTCCTAGTCCCCTTCACCAACTTTTGTGGTGCAAAGCCTATATTTTTTGTAACTGTATTAAGTTCTCCCACAAGACCAGATATGTGCTGTCACCTAACATGTCACCTAACTAGCTTAGTTATTATCATAAATTGATCATAGCACCTCCATTAACTTGCCCCCTATGTAAAGTGGTCTCTGCCCTTTGAACAGCTTTCAATGAGGTTGACACAAGTTTTGTGTCATAACTGCAGGAAGCTGAAATGTGGTTATTAACCATGGCTTAGCTGATAGGCAAAAACCTGTTAAGCAGTTGGATTTTATAGTAATTTTGTTTGAATATGAAGTAATTAGGTTTTATGGCTTTGCCCTTATTCAAAGGGCAAAGAAATAGAAGAAATATAAAAAAGAATATAGAAGAAATATAAAATGGAGTCAGAAATGAATGAAGCTTTTTGAGTTGTGTTTGTTCTTCCTTCAGGTTGACTGGCTGGGTGTTACTGAAGTTGTTTAACAGCTTTTTCTGGAATATTCAGATCCACAGAGGTCAAATAGAAATGGTCAAAGCAGCAACAGAGGTAAGGGAGGGTGGGAAAGGATCTAGTAAGGTACATTTCTGAAGTAGTTTCTATTAATGTTTACAGCACTTTTTAGGAGAGCTCTGCTAAGTCTTTACGATATTAGATTGTAGATAGAACTGCCTCATATCTGTGAAATAGTGTTTTAATTAAATGTAATGCTCTCTGAGTTGTGTAACCTAAAATACTATGTGCACTCTGGTTTTACCTTTGTTCAGGATCAAATTTTAACTATCAGGCTGAATGATTATCTCAGATAACCTGCATCCAGTATTATTTCTTTTTTTGTGCTGAGGCAGACGGTAATAAATTAATAGGTCTATTTAGGATTTTTCAGTCTTACCTTAATTTGGAATAAAAGTCTTTAAGAAATAAACTTTTCCTGTTCCTTACCAGCAGTCTGTTCCCAGTCCTTTGATATTTATTGAAATTGATCAAAATAAGTCCTAAATTCTACCTTTTTTTTTTCCACACTCAAAGGAATTGATTCTTTTTGCAGGGTTTACCTTAGAAAGATGGATAGATAACTGAAACAAACAAACAAAAAAGGTTCCTAATATTTTCTGTTATCTTTCGATTACAGTGTTTGGGAACCCCAGTATTCGTAGATCCTTGCTGATATCTAATAGAAATAGCAGTTCTTTGGTGACACTGATGATTTGGCCACATCCCTTTAATTGTTTGATTGTTGTCTCAATACTGAGAGTCGGAAGAAACTGGGTATATTAATCATTGTTGATGTAATGCATACAACTAAAAACTACAGTCCATGAAAATTAAGTACAGTTGACTAAAATGTTCTTGTTGTCACAGATGAATGAAAACCAGAAGTAAACAAAGTGAATGATGGTAACTGGAAATTACCATCAGTTCTGATTATATGATGCTAGCAATCTCAATAATGGATTTTAGAAAAGGAGTAATATTCCACATTTCTTACCAACTCTTTTTTCCTACTCTCGCCATCGTAGATGAATTTGCCTCTTATCTTCTTGCCTGTTCACAAATCCCACATTGACTACCTGCTCCTTACATTCATTCTCTTCTGCCATAACATCAAAGCACCCTACATTGCTGCAGGGAACAATCTCAACATACCCATCTTCAGGTAATAACGTCTTCTTATTTGAAAAAGGCTGAGGTAGGGGTTCTTCAGGTGACCTATTGTGCAGTATATGTTATGTCCAAGTGTAAGACAGTCTGAGTATTAATGGGCCATCATATAGAACATCTTTGGTTCTTATTACATGCTCAGAGAGAGAGAGCATAACAAAATCCTTCTGAGAAACTGTGTCATAACCTAAGTAGGGTTACATCCTTCCTTAACCTAAGGAAGGGTATTCCTTTCTTCTAGGAGTCTCAAAGTGGGTGGGTGACTAAGGAAAGATGAGTATGTGAAAAAGTGTTGTGAATGGACAACTCTTCTTCATTAAGTTTAATGAGCTGGCTAATGGGCAACAACAATACTGAGTGAATAATACTTTGTGGGAAAGTACTCCAATTTGGTCTCTGTTTAAATTACATTTCTGAAGAAGTGGCTGAAGAACCTAAGGTCTTTTATCCAGCGAGCCTCCGATCCACACACAGCATGCCGTGCAGACCGTGTCTGCAGAAAGGGTTACCCCATTTTGGTTGTTTGAGCTAGTATAGGATTTTCTTACACAAAAACAACTGTATTCGTCATTTCTTCTGTCAGGCAGAAAGGATGTTCTCATGAGAACTTCTTACTGCACTGTTAGATAAAGGCAAGGCCGCGCAGGCGGCGTAATTGCTGGTGCCAAGTGGGAGCTGCCTGCAGGCTCCTCTGTTAAAATTAGCTGGCTGAGCTGATCCTGCAGCCAAGGGGTATGTGCAGTACAACATGGGTACGAAGGCCATGCTGTATGTGCATGCAGCACAGCACAGAGTTGGGCCAGCTCAGGTTAACTGTTAGGTGGGTCACCAAGATCTCAGTGTACAATAGTCTCCCAGTCAGGGTCACTGCAGAGGGTAAGTGGTCTGTCAAGGGAGTGAAATGAAGCAAGACAGTGTAGAGAAGCCTGTTTCTTAAGTTAAATAGAGTAATATTTGTGTGGTCCCATCATGTGCAAATAGTGTAACACATTTTAGTCTTTGAGAATTTCAGTAATTTCAGTTCCTGTTGCATGCTGGGAATTTCATACTGGACGTGTGATAGTTTCCTGCAAGCTAAAGTCAATGAGTACAATTCTTCTTTATTACATAGCACGTTGATCCGCAAGCTAGGAGGATTTTTCATTCGTCGAAAGTTAGATCAGAGTCCTGATGGTCGTAAGGACTTCCTCTACAGAGCTTTGCTCTATGTGGTATGTATTTCTTGTCTTTGTTTCTGTAGGTAGCATTTCAGTCAGGTGGCAAATGGAAGGGAGAGTGCCATCTGTCTGGGGATGTTTTTTACTGCTTTGAATTTGTCTTAGGCTTCATGCTGCAAAAAAAGGATACATTTTTGTATGAAGTCTTGAATGTGTAGAATAAAAGAGAATTGAATGCCCAGCACCTTTGAGGATGAGCAGATTTTCACCTTGCGTACTCCTTATTAAAGAAAGTGGAATTAATTAATACTCTCTGAAATAATGTTAAACTTAAGCCTTGTTTCTCTGATTTCTTTTGTTCTGAAGCATATCTACACTGATTCTGTTAACTTAATGGAAGTCTCTGTTTATGATGGGTTGATGTAATCCTTTGTGCTATTCAGTATAATAGCTGGTTTTGCATCTTGGAAGATGGAATGTACTGAGGAACCAGAAGGAGAGATGTATGCAGATCGGCTAGATCAACTGTTGCTAGAGATGTAGTTCTTGAACAAATGGCATTATACTACTTGTTAATTATTGCCTTTATTTTTTTCACAAGTATTCATGCCAACTCATGATCTTCCAATGTTTTTAAAAGGAAATGGTTGCTGACAATATATTTCAAATGTGAATTTGCCGATATAATTAGATATTTATTTTTTCCTCTTCTCCAATCTTTTTTTATTCAGCACATAGAAGAATTGTTGAGACAGCAGCAGTTTTTAGAAATATTCTTGGAAGGCACACGGTCTCGAAGTGGAAAGACATCTGGAGCTAGAGCAGGTCTTTTATCTGTGGTGGTGGATGCTCTCTTCTCAAATGCAACTCCTGACGTCCTAATTATACCTGTGGGAATCTCCTATGATCGCATAATTGAAGGTCACTACAACAGTGAACAGCTGGTAAGAGCAATTGAACAACTTGTTTTGCCTAGGGGACTTTCTGTTTATGTGCAGGAAAATGTGTTACATAGTTAAACAATGTGCTAGTAGTATCCTCTGTCACATGTACTTGGTGTTAGTGCTGAAGAGCGTACAGCCATGAATCACAAAACCTCTCTGATAGGGAGTGCTGAGGTATGGGTGACATACTTCTAAATGCAAATTCATGACATAACAAATAATATGTTCAAGTGGATTTCTATGGAAAACAATAGTTCCCTAGATTTACTTGGAAGTTATAAGGTGTGTCAAAAGATTCGGCCTTGTTTTGTCTGCTGTTGCATGCATTTTAATTTTAAACATAACCTTTTAATTGCAAATTGGAAAAAACCCAAACCAACCACCTATGTTTTCCAGGGCAAGCCTAAGAAGAATGAAAGTCTTTGGAGTATAGCTAGAGGAGTCTTCAGAATGCTGCGGAAGAATTACGGATGTGTCAGGGTAGATTTTGCACAACCGTTTTCCTTAAAAGTAAGTTTGATATTTTGAAGATCCTTTTGAATGTTTGACATTCTTGGTGTTTCAATAGTGGGACACATTTATTTTGATTTTTCTATTTGTGGGTTATCATCACTAGCATTATTCGCTGAAGTCGATTCCAGCGGTACAAAAGTATCCCTGTTTTGCTGAATGCATGAATCTTTGGACACATTTGTGTTAAGCTGAAATAGTCTCAGAGTTGATATAAAGGGTTATGTTAGTTTTGAAATGGCGTAAGTATTCTTACTGGGGTTCTTGGTTTGTTTGTTTTGTGTTAACAAACAATCTTTAAAGTTATCCTTGTACCATATAGTAATTCTTGATGTTGTAGAGACATTTGGAGTTGAAGGAAACTGAATACAGTTCTCCAGTTTAAGTAATTTAATGGCTTACACTATTGTTGAGGAAGGGCATTTATCTCACTGCATTTTTAAAAGTGCTAAGCAAATTAGTAGCTATAAAATTATCATGGATAATGTATCATAATATTCTGCATAGTCTTTGAAAGTCACAGTTTGTTATTAGTTTACAACTGTTACCAACAGTAGTTCGCCAAATGCTGTTGTGTAGTTTCTCAGGGAATGGGGTGGTGCAGTCGTATCTGCCTTCACTTTTTAAATTTTCTCTGATCTCTTTGCAGAATCTGCTAGTACTATACTTATCTGCATTTCACTAATCTGTGTTCTGCTACAGTATACCTTATTTTTTAGTGTGACTTTAATAAGATTAACTACTGTAACAACAACCTACTGGAACATTATTCAAATTAATTAGGTGTTCTTCTTTCTGCCCTACTTCTCTCAGAAAAGCAGTAGGTTGGAGAGCTTTGGAGGGTTCAATTACCGCAACATGAAATTACTGTGACCGTCTGCACCACATTGTAATTAGCATAGTAGGGAAAGATATTAATTCACTTCCAAAGGAGAAGGCGTGGGCTATTCTTGGTAGGGAGTTAACAGTTGTTCTTGGATCAGTATAAGGAAAAGAAGGTTATCTGCCCTCTTAATCTAGTGAAATGCTAATCACTCTATACCTTCCTAGCAACCTCTGTCAGGTCTTATTTGTATAAGTCTTCATTTTTGTACTCCAGAAAGGTAATAAATGACAAATTGTTTAAGTATGCCTTAACCAAGATTTGCAGAAGTGTAACTGTATTTTTAAATTGATGTAGTTATGTCACTGCAGGTTTTTTGAAAGGAGATGAGCTTTGGGGGTTAATTTTGGGCATCTGCAGTTCTGTGAGCACAGGCTTAGAAGCAGAGGAGGGTGAGCTGGCTGGGAAAGTCTTTTGAGCAGCTTTCCTGGGAGGGAACTGTTTTCCTGACCAGCAGGTTAAGTGGCTCTTTAGTTTCCCACATCAGTCTGTATAGAAACTGAAAGAACACAGTGTCCTGAAAACAGAATAATGTAAATGCTAACCTGTAAGGAGAGGTGTTTTGGCTTTTGAGAAATTTGGGATTCAAGAACACCAAGCATGCAGTACCCTGCCTGCTTCCTGGGTGCTTTAGTTTGTGGCACTGTGAGGGGTCTTGCAACTGGTGTTTACCTGTGGAGAAGTTCCCTATCCTGGTGTTTGAGGAAAGCAGCCGCAAGCAATAATTACAGTCTCGATGTTGGTTCTGAATGGGTATTAGACTTTGCTTTCACTCATGTTGATGAAGGCAGTTCTCATTAATTTAATCATGGAGAAGGTAGTCTCAAAGGAGTTGTTCCCAGCAGGGTGCTGTCAGGGGTTATCTATTGTTTTTGTTGCAATGTATTTCATGAAGTACGGATTCCTTGCTGTGGAAAGTCTGCCTTTTCATAAAATAACATCAAAAGCAAATAAATGGTTGAAAACGTTTAATTTCTGTGACCTTATTACTGCTCTTTTAGTGTGAGCTATTTTTAATCACAGTTGTGTTTTTGAATAATTGCCTTTTTCGTATAATAATAGTATTAGGTGGAAAAAGTACAAAAAATAACAAGTCTTCTCTTAACAGGAATATGTAAACAGCCAAAGCCAAAAACCTGTGCCTGCTCCTCTTTCTTTGGAACAAGCTTTGCTACCAGCTATACTTCCGTCGAGGTAGAGATTTTTTGGGTGTTGGGGAGAGGGAGGACAGGTTGGGGTTTGTTTGTTTGTTTATTTGTTTGTCTTTTTACTCTTCTGTGTTACATTCCAAGTAGTACTTGAACTCTCCAAGGGTAATCTAATTATGTATAGAAAAACTAAAAACTTAAGACAATTGTAACTGTGCAATTTATTATGAGAGTTGCATTCTTTCTGGGGAGCTCTATTTAAATAAGCTCGAGGAGGCTTTGTTTTTCTTTTTTAAATTTTAGAGACTTCTCTTGGTTTAATTTTAAATTTTATGGAATAACTTAGGGGGAAAAAATAACACAATCAAAAATGTAGGATTTGTTTTTAAACCTCACAAACATTTCAGGTGGGTTTTGGTACAATTCCAAAGCAAACAGGACTTGGGAGTGAGTACCTCTTGCTCAGGGAGGTGACTGTCACTCAGAACTGCAAAACTGGGCTCAAGGGCTAGATCCGCATTTGTTATACAGATACACATTGTAGCTGAGGTCTTTGCTGGACTTGTACAAACCTGTGTGCTCCTAGTAGAGACAAAGTCAGTAATTTATCTTTAGAAAGTTGTAGGTCCATTCAAAAGACCATTTCTAGTTTGTAGAGAGGCTGGGCTGGAAGCTGGCTTTTAGGCAGGTTTGCTTAATCTACTGTTGTCCATATTCATTGAAGGAGAAGAGCTGTGGGGTGCAAATGATGTAATGGCAAAGTCACGAATAGCTATAGGACAAGCTTGCAATTTTTCTTTTGGTAGTCTTATCTTGGATTGTTGTTTAGTGTGAAGAAATAATCTGGAAGAGGTGGTAGATACTAGAATTTTTGTGGAGCTTGTTACACATAACATTTTTGTGCCTTTACCAGACTGCATAGTGGTTTTTTGTGCTGTAGTTCAGTTAGTGTATATTAAAAAAAAAAACCAAACAAACAGTCTAGGTTACTTTACAGTTTGATCAAAATCTAAATGTCATAGTGTGAATTTTTATTCTGTATTCAGACCTAATGATACTGTGGATGAAGGTACAGAGGCCTCACTGCCCAACTCCAGGGATATCACCAGTGAACCCTTCAGAAGAGAGCTGATAGCCAACTTGGCTGAGCATATTTTGTTCAGTAAGTGTTACAGTATCACTGTCTGCTACCTGTTTTGTTTTGCTGATTGCATGAACTACCTTGCTCTTTTGGTAATGTCATGCTTCCCAATTCCCTCCATTCAGGTGATCATTTCATGGCTTCAAATGCTGTCTTGACAATTCTCCATCCTTTGCCTCTCTCCCTCCTCTTCAAAGTTTTATAAACTCTTCTTTCTGATTAAGTACAAGCTTTTTATTCTGTTTTGTTAACCTTTGTATTTGTTAACTTTTTGGACTAGTATACTGAGTTTGCTGTACTCTGAAGTGTTTGTCATGTTGATACACTGATTTCTTACCACTTCATGTAAGAAGTTATGGCAGTGTCTTAATGGCATTATTTAAGGTCATACTCACATGAACTCATCTAGCTGCATGTACCAGTTTTGCCAGGTTTTATAGGTTATGTGGTGTATGCTTCAGTCAGTAGATCGGTGATTTCTGTGATTTGTGGTATAAAAGATGCATACAAAATGGTACTTAGCTTAGTAAACATTTAAGCTTTACTAAACCTTCTTAGTTCAAGTTACTTTAATTTGATTACTTTTAATATTGTTACTATGTACACATAATACACTTTGTATTTAATTCAGAAGGTACAGTTCTGTGCCAGTATCACTTTTTTTTTTTTTTTTTTTTTTAAATAATGGGTACTCTTTCACTTGTAATGATGTTCTGAACTTGTCAGGTGCTTAACACGTTTATCTTGTTTACCTCTAGCTGCTAACAAGTCCTGTGCTGTGATGTCTACCCATATTGTTGCTTGCTTGCTGCTGTACAGACACAGGCAGGTAAGGCTTCCATGCTGCTCAAATAGCCAAACATTGCTTCGGCCTTTTAATTAAAAAAAATAGCATGCATTTTACTGTTGCATGATACTTACAAAAGAAGAAAGATGCATTTAAATTAACGTGCATTTTAGGTAGTCTGAATACTAATATTTTAGTTAGTAATGGATGCTTGAAGATAAGCCATTATTGATGGGATGATAATAAATACTCATGTGGAAACAGTTTTGTAATTCAAAATGTAGTTATGCTTTTTTTAAAGAATACATGGTTTTGGTTAATTGTATTAAGATTGGGTTTTAGATCTCAAAACACATTCACCATTGAATATGCTAGAAATTCTTCTGTTAATTTTCAAATTAGTTTTGCTGTTCCTCAGTACTAGAATTATATCATGATGGCAGAATGATACTTATGTTTAAGTGAAGTCTTGTGCGTGGGGCTTGGAAGAATTTTTTTTTTCTCCTACAAATGTGTTTTGCATTTTTTTCTGAAATTCCTTCTCCCTCTTATCTGAAGCTTTTATTGCACATAAATCAAGAACAAATTGAAAGATATTGGTCAGATATGTAATCTTGCTTGTCAAGGATAGTATCACCATTCCTGTCTGTCCAGTCTTTCCAATTTCCTACAATAGTGGGATCAAAGAAGCGTTTTACAATCTGATCTGAAGCCATCTAGACAAAAAACAAGGAAGGAAAGTGCTTGAGGAAAAGCTTTTCCTCATGTCCCCAACCACATGAAGAGTTCTGTTAATTTCAATATTCCCAGATAATTGATTATTCCTTTTATAGCATAGGTAATCAAAATACGATATCTCTAACATGTTCTTGAAGAACACCTCAGGTCTCTACAGGTTGTGAAATAAACCAAGGAGCAAACAAAAAACTTCCATTCCCAAATAGCTGTATGGCTTTAAAATATAATTGCATGTAAGTCAAAACCTGTGGACTATTTTAGCAAAATCTCCATGAAAATAAGTTTTTTCTAATATGACTGTTGTGTTTTGGATTATTGACAATTAGTGTATTGTTTATGTGTTTGCTATATACATGGTTATGTGGTTTACAGATAAACTGCTGTGCAGAAATATTGTTTCACAGTGTGATTCTCTTTTTATTTCTAGGGAACTGATCTTTCCAGGTTGGTAGAAGATTTCTTCTCCATGAAGGAGGAGGTCTTAGCCCGTGACTTTGACTTGGGATTTTCAGGAAACTCAGATGATGTTGTCATGCATGCCATCCACTTGTTGGGGAACTGTGTAAATATCACAAACACTAGCCGAAACAATGAGTTCTTCATCACTCCCAGCACAACAATACCTGCTGTCTTTGAACTCAACTTCTACAGCAATGGAGTACTTCATGTATTCATTAAAGAGGCCATTATTGGTATGTTTTGGGGTTTACCAAGGAAAGACTTTCTTGTAACCCATGAAGTCAAAGTATCTGCACAAAAAACCTCATCAGTTTTTCATGTAATTTACTTCTATATATATCTCCCCTCCTTGCTTCAGCCCATGTTTACCCTAACAAAAACAACTTTAAAGTGAACTCAGGGGTTTTTGTGGAATGTTTCCACCCATTTTTCTCATTGTCCTTTATCTTTCGTGGAAGTATTTGTGTATTGGTCACTGCCATTGGGAAGGCACTATGAGAATTTTGAGCCAACATGGCAAAACCTGTGCTTTGATCAGCACTATTTTAATGAGATTTTGTTTTGATCTGACATTAATTGAACACAAACAAAATAGTGGTGAATTCTGTCTTTATTCTTCAATTGCATGTGTAATGTTTGACTGCTTTTAGGCCTAGAAATAGACAAAACTGAAGTTTAAAGTTTCCTTTGCTATAAAGCTTTTTGGAAAAATAAACTTTGCTTATGTTCATTTCTGCTCTAGCCTGCAGTCTTCATGCAGTTCAGAGTAGGAGGTCCAGAAATGGTACCAGTGGTGCTTCTCCCAGTTTGATTAGTCAAGAACACCTGGTCCGAAAAGCTGCCAGCTTGTGTTACTTGCTTTCTAATGAATTTACTGTATCTTTGGTAAGTAAGTAATTGCATTAGTTGTCCACGTTTTAAATTTTTGTTCTGCTTGTAACTGCATATGTTACTTTGAAATTAATTGATGCTTTCTTCATGTGTCACAGTTTTGATATGTTCACGGTATGTATAGTCTGATGGTAACGGGTGTCAATAGGTTCAATATAATTTGAAAAAGGAAGATAGTGTTCCTCCCATTTGCTTCAAGGAAACGTCTGAACATTTGAACGACAGTAGTTCCATGAGAACAGTTCATCCAAAAGATGTCTGGCCTAAGATAACACGTGAATTAACTTGCCAAACTCCTGTCACTACTTTATTTCCTTGGCAAGGTGTAACAAAATCAGTTGATCCAGTTTCAGGGATACATACTGAGTACATGCCTGCTGCTCCTGGAAGTGCTAAAGTGGGTGATGCTGGGATGAGCCTGCAGCATTTCTGCTCTGCTGGCATTAGGCCTTTCCTGAGAAAGAAAAGCTTCTCACTCTGTCTCTGTCAGTTTCCCACAATTTGAGGTTGGGCTTCTTAATGCCTTCTAACAGATTTTGTGTCGCTTATGTCATTGGACCATCACAACTATATCTGCATTCTGCCCGAATTATTTAAATATTTTTTTACTTAAACAAATACACGTCTTTGAGAGTACCCAACTCGTATGAGTTTGCATAGATGATTGAAATTATGCTGGGAAGTAAGGCTCCAGATTCTAAAGATATTCTTAATTTGCATAGAAGTGCATTAGTCACAGTGTGCCACACCTAGTACTTAGTGGCAATTTTAAACATGGCCTGACTTAGTTTTTTGTTTTGTTACAAAACGTTGAAGAGAGCTGATGTTATCTCAGTTTTCAGACACTCTGTATACTTAACACTCTGTATACTTGCAATTTAAAGTGCTAGATATTTTCTTTTTTCTTATGTGTAGAAGTTACTTAGAATTCTAGAGATCCTTGAATTAGTTCTTAAATTTGTACAGATATTTCTGACTCGTGCCTTTTTAAATGAAGCATGAGCCAAATTTAGTATTTTTGTCTGGCCAGTAATGTAGCTCATATGGTAGGGTTCTTTAGCAATCTTAGCCTTCTGCTTTCAGAGTTAATAACTGATTTTTTTTTTTTAACTTAGAAAATATTTCCTATGTGATTATGAACAATGTAAAAGAGATTGGGTTTTTATTTAGAGTTTCAAAACACATAAGGGAATTTCTTACAAGTATACCTTCCTTTAAATTCCAAATAAATCACTGGTATGAGTCTCAATGTTTTTAGTTTTATGATTTTATTCCAGAATTGTTAACAAACTAAAATTTGGTTAGAGGTGATTAAAAGGCAAGAATATTTAATGTGGTTTTCTATCAGTGTAGTAATGCATTTCTTCAAAAAAACTGGACAAATTTTAAATATCCTATTTCACTGTAATTTTTTAATGTCTGCTTGTCTGCCAGGATAAACATGAGTGGTGCATTGGGATTATGCTGGTAAAAGTTTAATAACTTGCTTAAAAGGAATAAGACTGCTGTATCTGAAACATTCTTACTGAACTGGGAACTGGTGTTGCTGTAATGGATGTGATTTTTTTCAGTGCGTTTCTCTTATGTTGTGCAGCCTTGCCAGGTGATATATCAAGTTTGCCATGAATCTGTGGAAAGGCTGATACAATATGGCATTCTTCTGGTGGCTGAGGTAAGGTGATAGAGATACTAAATGAGCTTTGTTTCTTGTACTTGACTTTAGCCATAGGTAGTTTATGCTTCTTAGTTGTGAGTCTTGTTCTAAATATATGCTGTTCCTGAAAGCTTGTAACAACAAGTCCAGGACTGATACTACTTCATTCCTACATTTATAAGCGTCAGACATTTTGGTATAGTCATCCTGTGATGCTAGGAATGACTCTATGTGTAATTTCATTATACCATTAAACCTACTAAAGAAGACACATATTTTATACTGTCTTGTAAAATTGGGATTTATTTTATTATTGGAGCCCTTTCAGATTGTAGCATAACTACATGAGTGTTTACTTTCTATTCTACAGGAGTCAGTAGTCCAGATCTTTTGTCATTCTTTGATTCCTTTGCATCGATCTCAAAATTATTGTAAACCTCCTCTGCTAGCACAATTTGTGGTTTCAGGGATGTACTGGAGTTGCTGTGAGGTGCAATCCACCAGAGACGTACAGTGTAAAGAAAACCTGGGGACCAGGGGGCAGATGACTCAGCATACCTTTGCTTCCCAAACTTTTTTTGTGCACAGTAAACAAACCTGGGCGCCCAGGAGCAAGAAACAAAATTTAAAGAGCACATGGAAAAGGAGTTACCTATTTGGCTGCTTGCTTCTTGCACCATTCCAGTTTCAAAGGAGGCTAGAGCTGCTTCTGGGGTATTTGTTAATGGCCACTGCTTCACTCTAATGCTTCACCTTTTGATACGTCCTCCATTTTTAATATATGTAACCATAGGTACTATTTACTTGATATACCTGGATATTAAACACTCTCCTTCTTTGGAGGTACTACTGCTTGCTTTTTATCTAAACTACAGACAGACATGTTGTCGTGCATTAGATTGTAATCATTATTAGATAAATCCCAAAACGAATGCTAATCAGAGGATTAGGAAGAAACCTGTATGTCCCATGCCTGGGGACAGGTGAGGAAAATAGGTGTGGACAGCAGTAGATAAGCACTTCTGTCTACTCAAGGATGAAACCTGCCTTGAGGGTTCTTCTGTAAGTTCTGGCTGCTGAGTCTGGTACTTTGCTGTTTATAGCTGTGATATAGATAGCTATTAGGCAGTATTTAAATATTTGTGCAACAAAAGTGCAACATTTGAATGCTTAAAAAGGAGATATATTGTGTCAGTAAATTTCTTAAACTTAGAAGACCTCTGTACCTGCTTACTACTTTTAGCACGTTAAGAATTCGCATAATCAGTGCAAACACTGTAAGCAATGGTGGTTTCATGACTTCGGACAGGTTGGAAATGTTTGTGGGGTTTTTACAACCTGTTCTCTGAGAAAGGTAGCTAGCTTCTGTCCCTTCTAATTATTTCAGTTTACTGCTGACATTAACGCATTGATAAATTTCCCATTAAATTGAGCTTGATTGACCCATACTTTTTTTTAAATTCTTTTCCTGTGATTCTAGTGTCTACTTCAAAAGCTAAGAAATATTCCTAACACATAGTGATCTCTTTGGTATTTTTTTAAACTTATTTTGTGACCTTTGCTTCATTCAAAATAAAACATTTAATCAGAGTGTAAGATTGGAAGGATGTCATTCTTCATTTGCTGCAGAAGCCTTTTTCTTTGTCCTGAATATTATGACAGTAATCTACAAGGTGTCTGTTACCCAGTTGGTTTTAATCTTCCCTGATTCCCATTTCTAAATGGAATAAATGTATGAGGGTCTTTCCTCAGTGACTTAGCCCTGGTGACCTTTGAAAAATCTTTCTGTTCTACTACTTTGAGCAAAACAAATAATGGCGAATGACTGACACTAAGGCTTCATTTATTCTTTCAAGTATGTGTTTATTATCTCTAAAACTAATTTCTGAAGATGCATTTTTGAAATTGAATGTTGCATCAAACATTGGTCGGTGAGGTGGAGTATTTCTCTTGCACCTCAGTTACTGTACACCTGAACTTCTGACATACCTTCATCAATGTAATCAAGGTTTAAACAATTTGGGGCCTTTGTGATTAAAACTGGCTCATTCTATTCTGACCAATATCTCATGTGGGGACAAATGCAAGAACAGCATCATTAGAGGCAGTAAGTTACGGCTTCCAAATAGCTACTTGTGGCATTCTGCATGAATAGAGACTTTAGCTATTGTAATGTAGTAACACTGAGTTTACTACGCTGTCTTTAAGGCAACAGTAACATGCAGGTCAGCAATATCCACATCCAGATAGCATCTCAACTTTCTATCCTAACACAGCTGAAAACACTTTCTTGGCAACTGCTACTGCATGGCCTCTGGTAGGAAGATTCAGCAACACTTGCAAAGGTTTCCACTTCTATGCAACAGGCAAACTAAAGAAAAACAGTCTTTTTCACCAAATGTCTCTTCTCTCTTTTTAATTGGGTCTCACCTGCTTTCATTGAATATTGGTTAATGAATGGACTGATTAAGTCAGATGAGATTATAAAATAAATCCATTGTTTACCTGGATTTGGGTTTTTACCTATTTACCACCTCGTCTTTCAAATTTAAGCAGGATGATCAGGAGGATGTTAGCCCCAGTCTTACAGAACAGCAGTGGGATAAAAAACTCCCTGAGCCATTATCTTGGAGAAGTGATGAGGAAGATGAAGACAGTGATTTTGGAGAAGAGCAGAGAGATTGCTACCTGAAGGTAATATTAACCTAAGGCTAATAATATTGAAGCCTGTTGTGAGAGATACAAAATACTTCACTAGTTTGGGAGGGGTAATGATAATTTTTTTTTTTTTTTTTTTGGTGGTTCACAGTGTTAGTCTGTTGTATTTTGCTACAGTCAGTAAAACATCTTTCTGTCCTTCCCATGAGGAAAACAGCTGAAGAAACATCAAATAATCTTTTAGGGAGGTGGAAGGGCAATGTTTAGCGTTATGAAAACTAATAAAGGCTCGAGTATCTTAATGTTTAAATGTTTTATTCTTTACTGCATGCACTCTAAAAGGGGCACATCCGGCTGGTATTTATTTTCAGCCTAAATTTCACTTCACAGATTGATCATGTTGATTTTAGACATATTACCAGTTTTCTCACAGAGCTGACACAAATACTCTTTAGGATATCTTGTTAACACTTGGAAATGTGTCCATTTCTGTGAAAGTATGGCAGCCCTTCTGTTGGCTGCAGAACAGTATGATATCTTTAATTTTATCTTAGGAAAATAGTTATTAATATCCTGGAGGAGAAAAAAGTAGCACTGATCTGTGATGTGCAGCGCCTGTTTTGTCCCTCATGGTAAACTGCTTTTTTGCTATGCTTTCATAATGTGCTGTGTTGTGGCCCTGTATTCCTTTTTGTAATAAGAATTATTTTGGCTGGCGTTTTGCCGTGTACTGTATTGCAGGTCATTTCCTGTTTCCACTGGTCTCTGTCACTTAAGCTCTTGTTGCCCTTTCTTAGGTGAGCCAGTCTCAAGAGCATCAGCAGTACATCACTTTCCTGCAGAGGTTATTGGGACCTTTACTGGAGGCATACAGCTCTGCTGTCATCTTCGTGCACAATTTTAGTGGTCCTGTTTCGGAGTCTGAATACCTTCAAAAGTTACACAGGCACTTAATAAGCAGGACGGAGAAGAATGTTGCTGTATATGGTATGTTAAACTGGTTTTGGAACTGGTTTTGATTAATTCTGTTCCTCCTAGCACAAGGTAGCCCAAATTCAATTGCAGTTTGTTTATGTCTGGGTTTTCTTTCTTGCAGCTGAGAGCGCTACCTACAGTCATGTGAAAAATGCAGTGAAAGTCTTTAAGGAAATTGGGGTAAGTGGTGATCAAAGCTGGAGACTGTTAAGTTTCATTTTAATCATGAGCACAATTTTCACAATTCATGGAACCTGTTCGGTGTCAGTTTAAAATCTGTGAATGTATCTGTGCAAATGTATTGTGGGTTTTAAGCATTTTGCTTTGCTTAAGGCTCTGGGCTGTAGGAAAAGAGCATACATTGCAGAACAGGGTACTACTTCTTGTCCCTGAGAAAACCTAGATGAGTACTAGGTGACTAGACATTTTTATTCACAGCAAATGAAGTTCCACTGCTCTACTACAGGCCCTTATTGGACATCAGTGACAATGTTGGAAGGCTGAGAGCATGCTCTGTGCTTAGTAACAGCTAAATTTAATTTTGAAGGACTACTTAAATCTTCCAAAAGTATTAGTTACTGAATTTTGGCTTGGCAGTGATTGATGCTCCAGGAGAACCATCCTAATAGACCTCCTGTGTCCACCATGAGGATGCAGGTTTTCCTTAAAATAAAGGATCAGTTTTGCACTTTACCACTAGCATTTTGAATTTTAAATCACCTATCTAGATTTTGCAAATGAAGAGTTTTTCTTTCATCAGAATGACATGGCTTCCTGAATGCCAGATGGATTTTTAGCATTATAATTTTGAAAGCATCAGCATTTATGCAAAGTATTACTAGATAAGGGTTTTGAAGTCTTTGTCTTTAAATTCTGACGTGTTAAATAAACTAACAGTAGTTAGTCTATAGTGAAGCCTATAGTAAAGGTATCTTCCTGTAGACTGTAAGAGCTGTGAAGAAAGCACATATCAAATCCATCATTTTAATTCTAGTTTATTCTGCTGTTGGAAAAGTGGAACTAGATAGCATCTGCTGAGCACCTACTTGGAGCATAGCATCTGAATTCTTGTTTTCAAAGTCCTTACACTTTCAGTTCAGATGCCTTTTGAGTGTGTGTTTTATCCCTTGGTGTTAGGAGCTGGCTGTTTATCATACACTGTGCTTACTTCTCAGTCTCTCTTATTTTGTACCACTTGAAGGGCTTTAACATTGAGTGAATTCTAATAATATCTAAAGACATTGCCATCTGAGTCTTCAAGAAAGGAAAAAAACCAAAAGTCTTGTAAATGAGGGCAAATTTAGTATAGACCATAAAATTTTAATAATGAAAGAAAGGATATTCTTTTAACATGGTGATACTTACATATATTCATGCTGTGCTTTAGGTTTTCAATCAGACAAAACAAAGAAGAGACACCATTTTGGAACTAAGCACTACGTTCCTACCTCAGCGCAACAGGCAAAAACTACTGGAATTCATCATGAGCTTCATGGTATTATAGACCACATATAGCACCTTTGTTCAGGGGCATGAAGACAGGTTTTGAGACTGTGTCAAAGCCTGGGGACATTTGCTAATCCTACCAAGTGTAAGGTGCCACTGTCTGGGTAAGGCCTTCTCTGACTTGAACTACTGGAAGACAAGTGCCTTCTTATGTATGCATTTATGGGTTTCTTACAGTCCCAATCCTGTTGTAATACAGCGGTACTCAGATGACACTTTGGATACAAGTAATTAAACATGTTGCAAAAAATAAGATAAATGATTAGAATTAGATTTAAAATGAAGAGTGAAGTTTTATCAGTGTTACATTTTAAATAAAGTTTTAAAGACTGTAACAGATGCACAAATACACATATTGGTGATCTGTAGCTAACCCTGAGATCTTGAGTTTAGTGGCAACACAGCTTATGGCATAAACAAGTAACTTTCATTCCAATTCAGTTTTTTTGTTTTAAATAAATGGTTTAAAAGTTTTGCTTAGGCAGGATATATATTTCATGGATAAAGCCATAGTTTTTCATAAACGTTAACATAAATGCCAAAATTCTAATAACAGTTACAGACATCTGAGAATAATGGTCATGTAGCAGATGGTTGTGAAAAATGTTGTCAGCAGACACACCTTGCACTATTAGAGCTGTGTAGTGCAGTGGTAAGTTGCACTAATCACTGCTGTCATGAAGAATGTGAGAGTAGCGTTCTTGTTTTTATTATGGCATCTGTCATTCAGCCAGATGAAAGTCAGGAGACAGTTGCCTGAATGTGAGTATCTTGTAAAATCTTAGATTATTATTTAATTGAAAAAAGCTGTTGTTTTGTTTTTAATTAATAAAATGTCAGATTTATTTTTTTTTTTAGTGGGGTAAAGACTTGATTTGGTGAAATAATTTTTAATTTTGGCCCTAAAAATTTCAGCAATAACTTTTGCAATTCTTTGGAAACGAGTGTTCATATTGTATTCTGTTGCTGAGCAGATCTAAATTGGCAGTAACCTCTAGAAACACAGAAATATCATAAACAATGTACTTTTGACTCTGATTTAACTGACCAAAAAAAAGTAAATTTGTAGGCAAAACTGAATTATTAATAAATTCTGTCCTATGAAACAGGACTCTGGTCTTGCAATTTGATACTTTTGCATGGAGGACTTGCACTGTAGATTTCATCTTCTCTTCATGCAAGTGAAGATTAGATTGCAACCTATAGTCCTGTATTTTAGTACAGCTGATCTAGCTGAAGCAATAACTTGGTGGTATGTGAAGCTGGTTTGCTTGTGAAATGTGTTTTTCCTCATTTAGATTGCCTTCTATATGAGGGAAATCAAACATTTCAATTACTGCAATGTTTTGTTTGATTTTCACATCCTGGCCTTGTGAGCAGAAAATCCCCCAACCTTCATCATGTAATCTCTGTTGCTTAACATAAATACGGAAAAGCATACTTGAATCTCAGCACTTGCACTGTTACGCCAGCACAAAACTGATGCACACAATTTGAGTTTGTGGCCAAGGAGCTTGCGTTTGTACTGCACATCTGTCAACAAGAATATTTCTGTAAATTTTTTTATTAAATGCTATTAATATTTGAAACCTGCAGTTTCTAGTTTATTAGCATTATACTGTTAGCACTGTGAGACGCATGTGTTTTGTCACTAAACCAGGTGCTCTACAACACTAAAGAATTTCTGAACCAAAGCTACATTAATACGGATAGAAACTGACCATAGAGTCGCTTTGTTCTTGTGTCCTTCTGCTCTCTCAGCAGGATAGTGACCACATCGCACATAATTTGTTTTGTGAAGTCTACTAGCTATTTAGAAAACAGTTTCATCTCATACTAGCCAATATGCACTGTTCGTTAACCTGATGAATGCTCCATACAACAGTTGTTGCTGATGGCTTCCATTTAATGTCAAAAAAAGACTAGGTGCTTCTGAATAACAAGCTCTCGTAGTTTACTGCATTTCAGTAAATCTGAAGTGTACTAACAACAAAGATTGTACAAAAAAAAGATTTTTGAAAATGAAGCAATATGAAGCAAACAAAACTTGAGTCATTTTATTAAGAATGTTCTGCCAACTGACATATTAGTTACCATAAACCCCAGGAGTACTGTGGTCACTGGAGTGTTCTGGCTAGGTGTTGCACCTAAGATAATTTATGGCTGGCATTTAAAAAAAAATAAAAATCTGGTTAATATAAATCAGTGAGTGGGTAGGGTAATAATGCATGTGAATACACATTAATGAATACATTTAGTATGCACAGGGAGGGGGCACCTCTAAAACTGGTTTGTTTTTGTATGAATAAAACCTGCATGTGAGAATTCAGTACTATGAATCATATGCCACTGGAAGCCTTTGCATTCTGCAGCAAGTGTGTATGTATACATATATATGCAAGCGTGTATATTATGACACACGACAACTATGCTTTTCCCTGAAAATAAAGCACAGAATATAAAATTATCAGGCTGTAACAGTCAAAAACTAAACCCAACACTTTTGCACTGTATTTACACCTTCAGTGTCTTCTGATTTTATTAATCTCTCATGTTTCCTTTGCTGATAGAATGCCAGGTTGAGTTAATTTGGGTAAAGTTAACCGGTAAAGAAGAAAGGACTGGCCCTGAATTACCACTAATGTATTTTAAGACTCTCCTCTTACAAAGACTTACATGAGTCTCGTCATTCCTACGAGCATATTACTCAGGTGTGCAAGTCTTTTTGGGCCAGGATCTTTCATGATATGAGAAGCTTAATCTTTCCATATGCATCCTGTAGATCTCACATTTTTAGAGTGACGAAAACGTAGAATTCCACTTCCCGTGCCGCCACAGCTACCCAGGCTCCCAGGGATCGTAAACTTGTTAATACATTTACTTTCTACTTACACTGACATGGGAGGCATACCTGCCTTCTCTTTGACAGTATAGGGCTTTATTCACCTATCTTTGATTAGGAAGCATATGCACATACATGCATTCAATTGACTGCCTGCTCCACAGAGAAGTATCAGAATCACCATGTAGAAGAAGGTTGAGTTGGGAGGTGATGTAAGATACTGTTGCTCTTGTGTTTCTGTACTAATGAGCCTGACACTGCTTTCTTGAGAATGTTACCACGTTTTACCTGTTGCGTGTAATGCTGTGTCTGTTGTAGAAGCACAGAGGTGTACTGGAGTCATTTTAATAAATTAAACTGTTTGCTAATACGACATTTAACAAGTTCTTCTAGTGTTTTTTGTGTCATTTTTTTTTTAAATAACCTGCTAAGATAATTCATTCAATAATTTTGTCCCATTCCAGGTAGCTTCTGAAATTAAACCACGAAAAGCTTTCATTGCAGGTGTGTCTCCAGCAGTGTATGTATTGGAGCAGAACCATTTAAAAAGCAGATTGAGGTGACATCCTGACTCCTGAGTCACTGTTTTGTTGTGAAGCGGAGGTGCCATTTTTGCTTCTCCATTTCCCGATCCCCACAAGGCTCTTGTACGTGGCTTCCTCTTTTAAAGTCCCTCTCGCCTTATGGGGGGGGGGGGTCATTCAGGAGTCTAGGACTGCTCTGATGCTGCAGACTGTCCCTTCTCGTGGCGATTTTAAGCTGACCTGGAGTGCAATAAGCACCTGTCAGCAATTCTGATAGCATCTGGCAAATGTGAATCAATTGCAGTGGGGCTTTAATATAATAAAACCTGCATAGATGATCATTACTTAAATTGAGAAGGCGGGATGCTGTTTCACTCTTCAGAAAAAAAAAAAAGTTGTAATCAACTGATTCTTTAAGAGGCCTCTAGCAATGTTCACATGCAAGCAAGGCTCGATTAATTGACAACTCCAGGCTGAGGCAGGAAACTAAAATTCAATTATTGTCAATAGCTTGAATAAAACCCAATTCTTATTGGTGATGACCTTACATGTTATTCTTTGTGTAAATGTCTTCCTATTTCTCAGTCTTTTAAAATCCCAAATGTCAGATAAAGCACTTATCTCCGGTTTTTGTTTAATTCAGTTTTCATGTAATAAAAGTTTGTCAGGCTTACTTAGAAGGATCGCTTGATTTGAGCTCCCTGCTTTGTTCTGTCTTATGGTACACTGAGTTTTCAGCAGCCCTGTATTTTCAAGGTAAGTTCCACATTGACCTGAATTGCTGCTTGAAACATTTTCTTTTCAGTCTTTTATAGATGTTCATTGCACTTTGCATTTGCTGGGTGAGAAGTGTCATCCTTATTAATTCTTCTGTAAGTTGGCCCACCTGTTAATGTAATTGTCCAAAAAGTATCATAGTTGATGCTGTCATTAGAATAAGGAACTTTCATGAATGAAATGTTCATTGCTGCATGTTATGCTGGAGTTCAGACCTGAGAGACCATAAACCCCAAAGAGACTTCTAGATTCCATCTGTCATAAAGCATTGACAGTTACAGAAACAAAAGCTATTTAATTAATTATTGTGTAACTATTAGTTATACAAATACATGTGTATGTAATTATGCAATGCAAAAGTTCAATAAAAGATGCATGGCTTGATTGCTATGAGTAATCTGCATAAAAAAGGTGTTCTCCAGCTTAGTAGTAATATTGGTTCTTAAACTGACAGTGTTTGCAACCTCTTGGTCCCAAATGTTTTAGAGTGACAATCTCTGGCAGGTGAGGAAACCTAAACATGGAGATCAGATAATGTGTCTAAGGCCATGCATGGGCTCCCTGGCGCCAATGAGCATATTCTTTTGCTCCTAATTTACACGTCACTTCTGATGCTGTCTTGTATTTTCATTAGCAAGTGATGGTAGTTTGAGGAAAGCTGCATGTGTACAGGTACTAAGTGGATTTTTTTTCTCTCCTTAAAGCACAATTCACAGTCAGAATGGAAGAATTATGGAGTAGAAGAATTACTATCAGTAGTGGACACGATTCCGCTAGCATCTGTTCTGAGTCTCGTCTATTTGGTATCTTCGCTAGTGACTTGGGGAATGGAAGAGAGAGTTTGCTCTTTACATTTGTAGATTAACAAGATCTGTGGGAGCCAGGTAGTACACTGGAGGTTGTCATGATCCCAATGGTAATGATACATTTTGGAAAGATCTGGAGGCAAAAAGAAGAATGCAGTTCAACCAGGAAAGTACATGGTATTACAACTGAGATAAGAAAAACTAAATGCGCAGGCACAGGAGAGGAAATAAACTGCCTGTGCAGCAATTCTTTGGAGAAAACTCCAATTTACTGGCAAATCACAAGCAGAACATGAGTCAAAAGTGGCATACTGTTAGGAAAAGGGCAGATGTCATGCAAAGATACCTTACGCCTACACATGAATGACAAACACAGAGCAAAACTTTCCATTCAGATTGATAAGGTCTCAGCTGGGATACCATGTTCTGTTTGAGGAGCTCTATTTGAAGGATGATATGGGCAAGATGGAAGGAAAAAAAAGGCTTTTTTTTTTTTTCCTCTTGTGGAGAAGACTACAAGAATCTGGATTATTCCCTGGATATGGGAGTACCCAGGTTGGATAAAGGTAGCGAATTCAGTCTTCAGTTGCAGTGAAAAGAATCAGGGTAGACACTGTACAAATCTTTTTACTGTAAGCAAAGAGAAGCACTGAGATAGATGGCCTGGGTGTTGGGTCCCTGTCCCTGCTGGTTGTCCCATGCTGCGTGATGGTGAGCAGAACAGACGGGAGGTGAAGTTCTCCCTTCCAGGTCTGGGTATCTTCCCTAGGTGAAATAGAAATGGGTTTGTGCAGAAGCAGCTTGGTCAGGCTGCTTTGACTGGTGGTCTGGCTGGCTCTTTATCCCCGAGTCCTGAG